TTTGACCTAATGTCATCTCAAATAATGATCTCTTTGAACGGTGTGGAACTGAACCAATGGCTACCATCCTAATGAGGAGACGTTGGAGGTGGATTGGCCACATTGCTCGCCAAGAAGCCTCAATTGCAAAAACTGCTTTGCATTGGACGCCAGAAGGAAAATGCAAGAAGGACGCCCTAAGATCACATGGCGGTGGACGGTGGAGAAGGAAATCAAGGAGATGGGGAAGACCTGGGAAGGCATCAAGTTTATGGCAAGGGACCGACAGATGTGGAGGGAACATATTGCTGCCCTACATGCCACTTAGGCGTAAAGGGCATGAGTTAGTGAGTGACTCTTGGGACTTAAAGGGTTAACATCTTTTGCAACTTTTTAGTTTTAGTCTTTTACTAACAGTAACAATTGGAAACTATTCCATATTTTGTTCACTTTCTTGCGTCATATTAGAAGTCTACAAGGGCAAGCACCATCTCCCTGTGGTAAGCAAGGCTGAAGTGAGACGAGAGTGGGCTCAAGCGAAGACAATAGTCAGGTCACTGCATTACCCAGTCGATCAGATGAAGGAGTTGTGGCAACTTCTTGCAACACACCACAGCGATGAGCTTCCCAGCCTCATCAAAGTTGGGCAGATTGCATTGCTGTTGCCTCTCCATACAGCAGATTGCAAGAGGGCTTTTTTCTGTGCAAAACCTTATCCCCACAAAATTGAGGAACAGGCTTGCGCTGGAAATAAGTGACAAGCTGTCGCGTGTCAGGATGTACAGCAAGGGGCTGAAACAGCACAATTTCAATGCAACACTTGTTATTTGGCATCAGCAAAAGAAAAGGTTTCTAAAGACATGCCATTCTGTCTCTCACATTCCGACAAAGGGAGTGTGAGTTAACGTGACTTTCAGCAGAAACTGTGTTAAAGTTATACTTATTCAAAGCCGGCAATGAATTAAGTCAGTTTGACTGAAAGTTCTTTGTAAACAGTTTTTACTACAGTTGTTAAAATTTTTCATACAGTTGAGTTTTACTGTAAAACATGTTTGTTTTTAAGAATCAGACTGTGATAGGTATAGTAGCCGGGGTTAGACATCGAAAACTGTGACTGGGAAATCCTTAATGTGTGTCACTGAAATGTAAGTAGGTCTGGTTTTACAGACAGTAACAGTATGACAATAAATTATTTCTTTATCCTGAGTCAAGTTTGATTGATTCCTTGATTGACTGATTAATGTAAAAAAGTGAAAAGCTGCAAAAAAAAATAATAAAATAAATAGAATACTGTACACACTATCATGAATTGCACATTATCATTTTTATATCCAGCCCATACTTTTAGCAAATGGCCCATAATTTTTCAACCTCAGGGGCCAAAGGCTCACTTGTCTATTTTGCCTTCCCAATCCCTGAAACATGTACATGCCAAAAAATGGAAACAATAAAATTAAACTTAACTAATACAAGCAATAAGAGTTTTCCAAATTTGAAAACTGCCTGACAGAAAGGAGAAGGACTATGTCATTTGCCCCAACAGAGCTGCTGTGGGTGGAAGAAAGAGATCCAAAACCCAATGCATGGGGTGTGGGGTGGGGGTACATTTAGACTGTTTTGACTGTTTAGACCATAACACAAAGAAAAGAAAAGAAATTTGAAACAATAAACTTTTATCAATATATATTTATACATCATTAGTTCATCATCACAATGAATTGTCAGAACGAAAAATGTGACAACTGCATGACGTGAAATGTGACGTCATAGAAGCCAATTTCAACCAGTCTAGTGAGCACGAGAGGAGTTGTAGAGTGGAAAGAAAACGGCAAACATATGTGAAGAGTACGATGTTAATCAGCTGATGAATAAACACATTTACAGGGTTAAAACTTGGCAGTCGCACGGTCGCCAGTGGCGATTAAAAAGAGCCCAGGGCCACTAAGAATTGAGGTTTGATCGCCCGAAGGGCGACTA